TTAAACATTTCTCTGTGCTGCTATATGTGCCCCAGTAATATTTTTTTAAAGAAAAACACATTAACTTTATAATATTAAAACCTTGAGCAATAAATTATGTGTTGCTCTCCCCCCATTCACTTCCAGTTTGGGACTTATAAAGTTTTCTATGAATAGCAGTAACTGTAATTATTGTCTGAGAAAGATGGGTAGGCAGTATTACATCATGCTTAGTATTGCACAGGCATTGAGTGACAGCTTTTCACAACAGCATTGTGAGATTTATCCTACTGAGATAGGGCATCTCAGTGGCAAAGGAACAATTATAGTAGGAAAGAACTTGAGGGGAAAAGGAGGAGAAAGGCCTCTTGCTTGATGTATAACACTACCATGGTTCCCTGTTTATCATGACTGAGAAGTATTAATTCCGATTTTTTGTGCTCTGCCTAAATGTGATGAATCAGTATGCAGCACAAATTGATTGGAATAGTAGTTTATTGACTTTCCCTGATGTTGTGCTCATTTATCTTTGTAATGCTTCTCACTGAGAGATAATATTAAGCTGTTAAGATTCATAGTGCAAAATGTGCAAGAGGAGAAAAGACTGTGCCTGCAAAGGTACAGCATTTTCTCTGCCCTGAAGAATATTTGAGGTGCATTTATTTTGCATCTAGATGCTTTGTGTGAGGAAGATATATGACAAATATGAGGGAAATCTGTTGAATCAAGTGTAGCGGAGGGAGGCTGTATCCTTATGATGATTTCTACTGTGAGAGAGGCCTAGAGGAGTCAATTAACAATGAATTAGGAAGAAACATTTTTCCAGTGGGAGGAAGTAAGATGATTTGGAAAAATTCTTGGGACAGTTAAGAATAGAAAGAGTAAAAATCTGGCATTTTTACGATTTCATCTTATATTAGAAGAACAATTAAAATTACGTTGTTGCACAGGGATAGATGTATTTCCAAATCTGTTGCAAGTTCAAAACAGGGATTAGATAAAACCATAAAGAGATACTAAAGGGAATGGATTGGATTATACTCTCTAGTAAATCTAATCTTGTATTTGTGAATACTAGGGGAATAGTAGGGGAGTGGAGCACATACAGTACAGGCTTGCAAGCTGTCACCAAATAGCACCTCTTCCTGGCACTGGAGACACAGAAGAAACTTAGGTCAGATGGACACTGATCTTCTTCAGTGTTCTTTCTTGTGCTTTGAAATATAGTTTGCACTAAAGAATGCAGAATTGTTATGGTCTTGACTGCACATTCAAAACCACTAATGTTCTTCCAATAAGGAAGGCCATAAGGAACACTTGATTAAGAACTGATTTGATCAAGAATTTTTGTACTGTGTTGACAGCCTCATTGCTTCCATTTGCCTCCATGCCTCCTGGGAATAAGATACTTGGACTGATACTAGAGTTGGGATTTCTCCAAAGCAGTGCAGGATGGAGCATCCTCTCTGCAGTGGATCAAGCTCATGTCAGCTTTTAGTGAATAAAATATTGGAACTACCCTTAGCTCTCATGTAGAAATTGGGGGATATGGGACTAATAGGTCTTCCTGCTGCCTGTGGTTTGCTCTAATTTCATCGAACTCAAAGCAACAGCTACATTCCATTCATGTAGAGGAAGAACCTGCCAGGCACTCATATTTTCTCCAGGAGCTTTGTGCAGTGCCTGAACAATCCTAGCTTTTTTATTAATTCTAAAGGAGTGCCTGAATGGTTCAGATGAATGCTTAACTGCTATTTGATGTCAGGTTCTGCGGGTGGTCTCTGTCAGAGGGGAGTAGGATCGATGTGCATTACTTTCTGATCTGTGGCTACATACTGATACAGTTTGCATACTAAGCTAGAACATGTTTCAGCAAAGGTCTGTCTAATGATTTATGGGTGGAATCAAAAGGTTTAGAAAGCAAGGGGTTTTCCTTAAAGCTTAGGTCCATCAGAACCTGTGGCCAGAAGAGAATTAATATGTTTGTATCTAGTTGTCACTGTTTTGAATAGTCTCAGAGTGCCAGGCAAACCCAGAAGAAAAAAAAGAGTCCATTCTGAGGAGATCCCTCTTATGTTTGTCATGTTCATGAACACCTCCATCAAGAGTCAAGACATATGCCATTGGGGTACTCTAAAATAAGTGACTACACAAACCTAGGAGCATATCTGCTTCCCTTCTAATAAAAATGCATGCACTGGTGTAAGAGAATTTTGAATCAATGCTAACCCATTTAGCAACAGTAGTGCCCTGTGGCTGGTTCTTCAGGTGTCATCACTGACAGTGCTTGAACTTTGAGGGAATCCATTATCTGCATGAAACTGCTGCGGAGATGCTGGCTGCATGAAATCCTTCATGTTTGCCACAGTTTAGATTCAGGATGGGCACACAGCAGCCCCCTTTGTGACAGAAATCTCATGAGCACAGATCAGTACAAGTGTCAGTTGTTCTAGTACATATGGAAACACTATTTATACTGCCTTGCAGGACTGAACATTATTTGCCTGGAGACTGTACTAAAGTGTTCCAGAAAAAATAAGAAATTACAGCACTGGCTGGCTGGTGAGAAGAAACAGGTTGTAAACAGTGCCTCTTAAACCAGGTATACTATGTGTCACATTCAAGGCTTTCCAGCTGAAATAGTTTGTGTTTGCAATCTTGTGTAGAAGAAGCTTTGAGATGCTGGGCAAGAGCTGATTCTCTTCTGTTTAGATATACAACAGAAGAGAGCAAAGGAGATTGTGACTATATAAGGAACAAAAAAATCATCCCCAGTAGTGGTTCAGCACTGGAGCAGTTGCCCAAAGAAGCTGAGGAATCTCTGTTGTCTTGACAAACTTCCCAAATAACTCTTCTCCCTTGCTGGTTATTCAGCTAAGAAATGAGGATTCTTGAAAATACTGGTGATGATGTTTTTAGTCTCTCTTATTGGGATCCTGAACATAATTTAATTTTGGTAATCTAGATACCACAGCGATGGTGCCAAAGTAAACAATCATGATAGTATTGGTGAATAACATAAGCAGATAACCTGGAGACTTCCATCTCCAATCTCTTGGTAAGTTCAAGACTTTGGCCTGAGATCCAGCAGCCAGAGTGTGTTTGGGTTCTGTTTCCTGCTCTGCCATTCGTAAATTACGTGACGTTGAGAAGGGCTGAATTGTGGGCTGCTTTCAAACCTTCTGTAAAGAATGTAGTGCCATTGACTGAAAGGTTTTTTCAGTTTTTTTGACCTCTGTTCCTGAATTTATTTCCCTTCAAAATGAATGTTTAAAAGTCCCCATCTCTCAGGATTTGGCTGGCCTAAAGAATAGGCTTTTAGATGTTACAATGTTACAGATTGACTGGCAAGACAAATGCTGAGTATTCTGTCTCCATGTAGCGTAGTCATGCAGACTTCATTCTGGTGTACCAAGTCTTGATTTTAGTGGCTCAGGCTACAGTCTTCAGCCCTGTTCCTGGAGAACACTGACTGCTATGTGCTTGGATAGTTCTTTCTATAAAGAAGGGTTTTCTGATCATTCAGCCTGGATTATTTTTTTTACAGTTTCATCCAGTGTTGTTTTTCTTCTGTGGTGTATACATGCTTCATAAACTAATACACAATACCTGTATTATATTCATTATTCCATTTTATTCTTAATTTTTACTCAGTTATACTTAACTGATTTTATTTTTCTCTTTCCTTGTCAAAGTTTTTGCTTCTTCCTGAAGTCCCTTTAGTTTACTTACATTTTAGTGATGCTCAAGAGTGCCTGTGTTTCATCTGTGTTTGGTGTATGGGTTCTCATTAAGGGCAGCATAAGAGAGAACTATTCCATCCTGTCCAGTAATTTCCTCATCTCTTTAGTAAAGCAAATCAAATTGCACTTCATTACCTTTTATCATACTCCCCAGGCTCCTTATTTCTCTGCTATGCCAAACTTCCTCAAATCCCCCATTGCTAGGTTTTCAGATACTTGCAGTGAGGCTGCCCCTTTTAGTTACAACTCTTCTCTCCCCTATTTCAGACAAGTTATTGAGCCATTTCTCTGCATTGCCTGAGACATTTTTCTTTCTCCTTAGTTACGCTTCACTACCTCACTGAAGACATTGGAGTGTTTTCAATGCTCTGTGCAAAGAGCACCTAAAGAAACAAAACATACTAGCTTTTTGAATGTAACCTACATATACCATATTTCTCCCGTGGGCTGAGATTTGGGCAAATGGAACCAAAAGTACCTTGCTCAGCAAAATTATTTTGCTAGATTGATCTAATGCAGTGCTACATGCTGCTCCCTGAGTGTGAGATAAATCTTTATGTCAGGTTCTTAATGGTGGTGGTGGAATTTTATTTGGTTTTGCTTGGATTTTTTCCCATTTAAGATAATAAATTTGAACTTGTGTGCTTTTCCTGGCTGTAACCTGGCAGGTTTGGCCTTAAATATCACAATTTTGCTTCTTCACCTACAACATATTAATGGGAGAAATACTGTCCAGCTTCAATAATGTTGGACAGTTATATGCTTAAAAGGACAAATGAAATGCAGATCTGAAATGCAGTTACTAGTGTGTCAGCAGTGTAGATTTGTGTTGTCGAAAATGGTGAAAACTCTCATGTCATGGCTAGTGCCCTGCAGAGTCCTTAAAAGGCAAAGTGTAAATTATAAGAGTCAGAATTTGGAAAGCATACAGGGGTAATGGAATGGAGATCTTCCAAGAGACACTCCCATAGATGTAAAGGCTGAGATTTAAGTAAGAATACAGCCTGTATTGTAGGATAGATTAACACTAATCTGGGAACACCACTCTTAGTGATGCCATGCATGTCTCAAGAGCTGTGTGTACTGTCAGTGTACAAAACAACTGGGACTGAAATGTTGAGGTGGAAGGTGTGGGTATATGGTAGATACTGGGTCTGTGATACTCTTTTTCACCTGTATCTTGAAAGTAGTACATGATGGAGTGGGTGTGTAGAAACAGCCAGTTCTTTATTATTGTGACCTGATTTCTGTTCCCACCTTCTGTTTTTTCTTAACCAGTATTCCTGTGTAAAGGCCTCTATACTTTGATTTGGAAAGATACTAAAATACCCCAAGAAATCTTTGACCATTTCAAGGTAGTGGTGTGTGGGTTTTTTGGAGATGGTGCTATCTACAGAGAATCTTCATGGATTCTAATGCTGGCATCAGTGCAAGAAGAGTGGCAGGAATGGGTTGGCTCTGGATGGCCTGCTTCTTTCATCTGGTCTCCTCACTAGAAGGTAAGAACAGATTTTATATAATTCAACAACTTAACAAAGTTTCTCTAGAGAAAAAAAAAAAAAGTGCTCTCCAGTATGCTTATTGTAGTCCAGATGAGCCTTAAGCACATGTCTTTCTTTGATGGCTGATCACTATCTCATGAGATGTAAAAAGATACTGTTTCTAGTAGGACAGGCAAACCTTCTTATGAAGGACCATTAATGAACATTTCTACTAGCTATCTTGGAAGTGACAATCTCAAAGAATAAATTTTTTGCCCCAGGAATAAGCTTCTTGTTTATGCTTTGCATGTATTTGATTTTTGTGTTCCTGTTCTTGCACCATGTTTGTTTTATGAAACAATCTCTTGATGTTTATATTGTTCTACAAGGCAGCATCCACTGGGCTGAAATCAGGATTTTTTGTCTCTGTCATCTGAACAACTTGTCTCATGTAATAGGGAGAAAATGCTTTCCTTTAACAGAAGCAGCAGTTCGTGTTCAGCCAGCAGAGGAGAGGAGGGAGAGATCAGTGAAGAGAGGATAGAGCAAAGAGAAACGAGAGGCCAAGAAAATCGGAGAAGATGGTAGGAGGGAGGGTGATGGGAGCAAGCGATAAGAGTTATGGGAGAGAGTTAGAGAAGGGCAGAGGTATGGTAAACAATCCTCTTGTTTGTTCCAAGGAATATCCTTGCAGCTACATGTGCTCAATGAACTGCACGGCTTTGTGATGAATGTTTGTTTATCTCTTGCATATGTGAAAGTCTCTGAAAAAGGGTGGGAGGGAGAGAGGGAATCAGAGGGAGACAAGGAAGAAAAGACCTGGAGGAAGGGAAAGGAGAATAGTGTGAGATCTAAGAAAAGGAGGATGGAGATAGGGAAATAAAAACTACTGGCTTTTTCTTACTAGTAATGAAGAGGAAACTTGTTAAAGCATTCCTTCTCTTACTAGGAGGGGAATGGAATGGGAGTTCCTCTCCTTCAGAGAGGAAATAATTGGTATAAAAGTATAATACAAGTTCTAAAATCTCTGCAACTCTGTTAATAGCTGATTTAAAAAATATTTTACAAAGTAATGTTATTCCTTAGTGTAACTGATAAAGGAACTGAGATGGAAAAGGGACAGAAAATGTCCATTCTGTGCAAATCTGAAGTAACTCAGTGATGCCTATAGGATTTGACATTTCTGGAATTCAGTGATTGGAATTTAGAAAACACTGTGTGATACAGATCACATGGTTGAATTGCCTGAATTAAAATAAGACAGTAAAATTCTGCTATGGAGATGAAGCAGTAAAGGTGCCCATGAGCTGAATTTCAACTCTCAATTCAGTCAGGGGTGTTATCGCCTTGCATTGTGACTGAACTACATGGTCCTAGGATTGCACCCCAAAGGTAATTTGCATGTCAGAGGTTAGTATTTTTGTTGTGGTCAAAAGACAGAGAAGAATTATGCATTAGGGGAAGGGAAGTCTGATGATAACTATGTAGAATGCTTTTCTTTATACAGAGTTATCCATCAGGAAGAAAAAAGCCCCGTGGCCATTTTGTTGACTCATTACTGTGTATAGCAGAAACTTGAACTTCCGGTTTCAAGACTTAAGTTGAAAAATATAGGGAACATCCACTTTGGTCTTCAGTTTTTGTAAAGTTTCTTAGAAGGTTTAGATGGTGTCTAAAATACGTCTCATCTCTAACTGATGAGGGTTAACTGAGTGGGAAAAACAATGAAAGTAATTTTTCTTGCAAGTGTTTCTCAGGCATTTGAGTTAGATTTAAACAGGCTGACTGTAGATTTAAACAGGCTGACTCTAAATTTTGTCTCAAACTTTGTTTAGAAAATTTGTTTGAAATTTTCTGAAAGGGGAAAACCTATTTTGATAAAACCATAATGTATGTTGTTAAGAAAAGAAGGAGAAGCTGTAGGAAGGGGAAGAAAAATAACCAAAGTATTCAAACCACCTTTCTATGCATTATGAAAAGAACAAATACTTTTTATGCAGAATGCTTTTCAGATAGAAGGAAAGCAGCACCCTTTTACAGGACCTAATGGGACCTTAAACCCCTTCATGAATCAGGAGTAAAGAAGTTCTTGTAAGCAATAGAAAATGTTTTTGTTGTTATTGTTGTTTTTAATGCATAAAAAGGAATCATTAGACTGAACTTACTTGATACAGATCTAGTATTTGGACACACTGATTTCACTAGGAATGAGCATGTCGATTAAAAATTTTCCAGGCATGATTTTTAGACTAGAAAAAAAACTGCATGGGAAACATGACGGAAAACTGTTTTGCAAACAAAAGATATTTGTAAACTTACTATTTTAGCTTTATAAAAGGAAACAAGATTGCACAGAAGTTTTCATTAAGATCGCATTTCCCACAGTTATGACTCTGAAAGTTTTTGAGGTTTTAGTTTGGGGACCATTATTTTTGTGCTACATGCTGGCTGAAAAAAAGATTTTTTTCCTTTTGTTCAAAAATATGTATAGAAATATACAGAAATTTTATTTCTGTATCTATACATGTCTGTAATTATTGTCTACAATTTATCATTTAACATTTTTGTAGGTTAACCCTTCTGATTGTAAAAGTTGGTGAAGCACAGATTTTAAGAATGCCTGATGGGGCTACAGTAAAAATAGCTGAGAGCAAGTGATAACTTGCTAATGAAATAGCTCTTATAAGAGCATAGAGTTAAATTTTATGTGGAATATTGGTTTTGCTTTTACTGAGTTATAAATGTTTACAGCTTAAACACAAGTTCATTTTGCAGAGTTCATTTTGCAGAACTCATTAAATCTGTTCCAAAGGAATGATGTGTTCTCTATGTGAGTGACTGCATTTATTTTACAACAAACTCTCCAGCCTGCAGAATGGCTGGACAGCCTTTCTAAATATCTTCTAGAAATTCAAGGTTGTATTCAAGAAGTACTGATTGCTCAAATGTCTTTGAAGGGAAAGAAAACTAGAGTTTCCTCAAAAGTAATCTTCAAATTAAAAAATACTATTGCCTTTTGTTTTATTATATGCAAAGAAAAATTTAAATGGGTGTTACTTTACTTCAGGGGGAAAACCCCAAAAAAGTAAAATTAACTTTTTACTTTATTTGCTTGTGATTCACATGGGTTATTAAAATCCCATTAAAAATTTCCCATTATGTTCTTTCCTGACACTTCCCTGTTTACCAAAATCATTGCCATATTCTTGGAAAGCCCAGGGCAGAGGAATCTCTTGTTATAGTAATTCAGAAGGTGAATGGGACTGGGCTGGATGTGCAGCTTGTTTATAAGAGGAGGGGTGTCTGGGTTATCCCATTGGTTAGTCCTAGCAGCTCCACTTGTTTTGTTTTCTCCTGTAATATATTCCCAGGTGTGTACCATAGCCCTGCGTTGAAACTGTTCACAAGCTGCAGGCTACCTCTTGCTGCTTGGAGGCTAGCAGGACAGTAGAGCCTACTCATGTTGCAGCTAAGACTATTTATATTCAAAGCTAATTAAACTTAAAAAAAAAAGAAAAAAAAAGAACAGTACTCTATGTAATATACAGTATCTGGGACTTCAATTTATGCTTCAGTGAAACCAGACCCAAGATCACTTTTTAATGTTTATAGAAAAAAAAATATAGGCAGGAAAACAGATAAACTAAAAATGACACTGTCATATGAAGTAGCTGGTTTCATGGCAGTGGCAGTTGGGTGGGTTCTAGACTCAACAGTGGGTATTTGCAGAATGAATCTGTTAAACTCTAGAAGAATATTATTATATCACACTACTAGGAAAGTTGTAGATAATAATTTAATTTGATTGCAAATGCAAAGTTAAAACTAAGCATTTAAAGTCCTTTATTTTTATTTCCTGATGTCTGCATTTCCTGACATCTGCAGAGGAATTAGTGCAACATGCTAATCCTGGCAGTTTCCCAAGAGCTTTAACAAAGGGATAGTGGAGGTAAAGGAAAAAATACACAGTCATTCATAAAGCTTAAAAGCTGTCCTACCTTGCAAATAGTTGTGTATTTCCATATCCTAGACCATTTGGCTGCTACCTTTCACAGGTGCATAACTCCTGATTGGGGTCTGAGAATCCTGTTCTGATAGTATCAGCTTTTTGCTCTGACATAGCAAGTAGTCAAAAAATACTATACTTCATGAAAGTCACTAAATACATATCTCATTGGCTGTAAATAGTTTTTTCTATTAATTGCCAATACAGAAGTAATACAGGAGCATTCACTGCAGGAATGACTTCACAATATAGATTTATCCAAAAGGTCAGCCTCATTTGCCTCATATAGGTTGGTTTTATATATATTCTCTTATATTAGGAGGCATATTTTATAACTCTCTATCTTGTTATTTCATGTTAAGTCATAGCTGAACCGGTTTAGTTAAACAACAGCAGTTTTTGTATTGAGCACTAAGTGGGAATTTTTGGCTATTTTTGTTTGGTTTTTTACTTGTTTCATCAACTTATTCTTGAAAAATAAGTACTTGTTGCAGTTGCATATGTCACTAGTCATTGATATATACTTCACTACCATAGCTTTTTAGCTTTGGAAGAAGTTCTAGTATATTAAAGGCTTCCCAAAGGTTTCACTGTATTGTGTCTCCAAGTGATAGCCCCCATATATAAATATATTTGTTCAGTTGCATGATAAAGGGCTTCTCTCCTCACACTCAAAGGAACACAGGCAGGGGAACCCAAATAACCTAACAGAGAAATAAGCACCCTGACCCAGCTTCTCCCAGGGCTATTACAGGAGTGTGATCAGCCCACTGAGAGGGAATGGAACTTGTTAAGATAAATCAATGGAAGTGCTCTCTGAAACACCATTTGGATTGAGGGGGATTACTGCCAACAGGGGTATGGGATTTATTATGGGATGAAGGGAAAATTTGGGGCTTCGGCAAAACTTACGTGGGTTGCTCAGGAGAGGAACTATAGGTGGGGAAAGGGAGAGATCAAGTGGTTTTGGGGAGGATCAAGTGTGAGAAAATAGAGATAAGGGGCCAGTCAT